CCCCCGTGGGAGGCTCACAGGCACGCTTACCCAGCTTATTGTTTACCTCTACATCTGATCTTGTGGATTCTTCATTTAAAAGAATATTTACATAACTTAACTTTTCAACCTCTCGTCTCAGAACTTTAGAGTAGCTGACCATCACTTTCTCCCTGAACTATTGTAATGTTTCCTTCACTTCTGGACTATAGATCCCCTCCTCCTTGGCCCGCTTGTACTCTGAGTCATACTAATTACGGCAGAGGCTACTCGCTACTCATCCAAAGCCGTGCTGTTCTCTTCTTACTGGACACACGCTTAGACGGCACTTCCCAGGCTGCCTTGCACTGCGCTGTGGCCATGCGACTGGGTTTTACTGCCAGTTCCTCCACGTGTTTTATTTCTGGGCTTCCTCCTTCCTCTTTTGCCCCTTGTGCCAGCCAGATAAAAACGGCCAGGAGGCTGAATGAGATGGCACAGTCGCTTGGTTGAAATGAGCTTGTGTCCCTAGTTCTGCACATCGAGCAGAGCCACCCGCCACCAAGGATGCCCACTGGGACTGTTACATAAGAGAGGCTGAAACTTTTATTCATTTAAACTAGTACACATTTTGAGATCGGCTTATTACTATAGTATTCATTGTCCTATACCATACTATTTATTATCCCTTTGCCAGGGTATTCTGAATAATTCACTATTTTTTCCAAAGAGAACTCTACTCAATAGTTAATTCAATATATAATTAGTTCAATCACTAATCCTCGCTATCTCCTACAGTACACGTGTGAATTATGTGCTCGGCACAGGGGGTGCAGATCTAAGTATACTTTCCCCAAATATGATGTCCTTCTCTCTGAACCTAAAAGAATTTGGATTTATTTCTTGAAATACCTTTCCTTGTCTTTATACAGAATCATATCTTAGGGTTGAGAGGGTTCAATATAGCTAAAGGGTCCAGAGACTGTGGTTAGTTCATTTGCTGTGGAAGTATAATGTTTTAGAGGTGGGATTCTTGGCAATACGTCAGACTAAGCTGATGTCAGTGGATCCCATTCCAGTTGAAACACATAGAAATTCTAGATAAATTTAAAAATGATAAAATATACATATATCCAAACCTAAAAGAAAGAAATGTGAATACAAAGGTATGAGAAAGAAAAAGCATACTCAGCAAGAGTTGTAAGACAGAGTTGCTGCTGCTGTGGCCCCTGGAGGTTTCCAACTACGAACAAGGCCCTAAAGACAGGGATTAGGTTTGTAAATTTCCTTTGGTACAGGAGATGCGCCCACAGATCTGCCTGAAGTAGAGGGTCTTCTGTGGAAAACATGCAAGTCTTGCCCTATTTGTGAAATGACACTAGAATTTTTTTTTGCCTTGTTAGAATTGGAAATGAAAGAACAAAAGAATAAAATGCACAGAAAATGTGAATCTCTCTAAAGAAAACCCAAGAAAATCTCTAGATCAGCCAAGAATTCCCAAGAAAGACAAGTATCGTATGATTTCACTTGTATGTGGAATCTAATGAACAAAATGAACTAATAAGCAAAACTGACAAACTCAGAGAGCAGGCTGACAGATGTGTGTGAGGAAGGGGCTAGGAAGAGGGTGGGGTCGAGGGACTGAGTAGGGGTTGAAAAGGAATTCCCAAGGGAATCTGCTCGTTTGTTTGATGTAGACCAGTATTAAAAACAATGAACACTGCTCTAATACCTAAATAATAATAAATTAGAAAATACAATTTTATCAAAGTCTCCTCATTCACAGTAGCAATAGAAAATATTAAGGAATCTAGAAATAATTGTAACAAAAGAAGTGCAACTGGTTTCAAAACTTACAAAACTTTACTGAGGGACAAATAAAAGAATGCCTAAAAAAATGAAGCAATAAGAAATGTCAATGGTAAGATTCAATGTGGTAAAATTGCCAGTTCTCTTCCAATTAATCTGGGGATTTGATGCAATCCCAATCGAAATACCACAGGTTTCTTGCAGACATGGAATTTAGCGTGCAGAAGGGTGAGGAGCCATCGGCAGCTAAAACAATTTGAAGACAGAGAATCAGAGGAAGTAATGGTCCCATTAGTCCTGTTGATGTGGGGAATGAAAACTAGACCTATTTATAGACTAGAGAGTCAGACGCAGACCAAGCATTTATTAGCAGACAGTATATGACATGGGTTGGTTTAGAAATGGGCAGGGAAAGGATGGACTGAGCACATAATAAAGAATCTTGGGACAATAGGATACCCTCACATGGAAACTAATCCCTAAAGGATTAATTGGGGAAAGCAAAACTTCAAAAAATGTAGAGGAACATGGAAGCAAATCAAAACAACACATGGTGCACCTCCAACTCATGCAACTCTCTGTGTCAATTATCTGTCAATTACACTGAAAAAATTCTAGAAGGAATTAAGTTTATGATATCAGGCATGTAATTAACTTCTTGAACCAGCGCAAAACACACAAAATATAAGAAAAATGTCTTACACTTTGACTCCTTTAAATTAAATTTAAAACATTTGCATGAAAAGGACACTCTAAAGAAACAGGAAAGACAAGTCTTGGCCTGGAGAGGGATGATGTCTGCTGCACACATTACCAATAAAGCACACACACTGATAAGAAGAACACCAAAAATGACCCTGGGTGCTGTGGCTCAGTGGTTAGAGCGTTGGCCCCTGCACTGCAGGGTCATGGGTTCGATTCCCAGTCAAGGTCACGTACCTGGGTTTCAGGTTCTCTCCCGGGCTCCCGTGGGAGGTGGCCAGTAGCAACCAGTCAATGACACATCGATGTTTCTCTCTCTCTCTCTCTTTCTCTCTCTCCCTCTCTCTCCCTCTCTCTCTCTTCCCCTCCCTCCCTTCCACTCTCTCTGAAAAGCAATGGAAAAAAATATCTCCAGGTGTGGGTTAACAAAAAAAGAAGACGACCAAAAATACAGCAGGAAATATTGGGCAGAAGTTTAGAATAGACAAGTCATAGGAGAGGAAAGGATACAGCCAATAAACAAAAGATGGTAAGCTAAAACAAAATCTAAAGAGGAGTAGTGGAGAAAACACAGATAAGTGGGAAATCAGCCTGGAAAAGAAGTTTGTGGTTATACTGTGAAGAATTTTTAGTACATACTTGATTTGTCACATACGAAAAATCAGTACAGTGGATGTTAACTGAGCTACCCTTCCCTTGGTAATAGAAATGTGCAACCTCTTGTTTAACACACACATAGGTATTTGGACATCTAAAGTGACTGAAGTATAAGTCAACATTTGAGTGACAATCTGGGGCAAGGACAACCACAAGTTGATTGAAAAGAGAGTTAATAAGTGTAAGAAAAAGCTGCACCAGGTAAGAAGTGTTTGGTATAATCAATGCGAGAACTAAAGACACAGGGAACCAGAGAAGAGAAGCTGCTGAGCACAGGGACTTCACGATCTGCAGGGTTAGACGTTAGGGTGTCATCGTGGGAGAGGTGATTTCTGCTGAAATATCGAGGAGAGAGGTAAGAGAACCTGTGCCTACCCGGAGAGGAGCCAGGGAGTGCATTAGCAGGGACGCTAGAGACTGAGAGGAGCCTTGAGTTCACGGGAATCAACCTGAGTTCCAGGCAATGGTGAGTCTCTGGGATCCTTTTTCCTGCAAAGTGT